CAAACCCAGGAAAATGTATATTCGGACTTTAATACTATACAATTGGATATGAAAATACTAGTCGCAGTGGATGTTTGAAAGTCAGAATTTCTAGATGAATATATATGCTATTTATAGCCATGAAATTTATAATTTAGATTTTATTTTTATTATTTGTCTCTTAATATTCATTAGCTGAAAATAAGGGTAAAGGTTATCTATATAGTAATAAATAAAATTTGGCACATAGGTTCCTTAAGTGATGTAAATGAGCACTAAGAAGGGATTTTTTGAAAATTCGACCGCTAAGGGGGTGAAATTAGGGATGAAAAGCTGCATAAAAATTTGTTAAAATCTGGTTTAAGAGTATGAAATTTTTCACGAGTGCTCCTTGACTGACGTAATTGAACACTAAGGGGCAATTTTTGGAAATTCGCTCGTTAAGGGGGTGATATGGGGGGTACTTTTGTATACAAAAAAAAGCATGTCCTAGGACTACGAAATTTTGCACAGAGGTGCCTTAAGTAGCGTAACTTAACAGTTCGATTATACAAAGCGATTTTAGGAAATTCTTCTACTAAGGGGTGAAACTGGGGGTGAAATTTTGTATACTTTTTTAAAATTAGTCCGAGGAGTTTGAAATTTGGAAATTGTTAATTAAGCGACGAAAGTGAGTACTCAGAAACGAATTTTGGACATTCATCCCCTAATAAGGGATGAAAATTGGTATAAAATTTGTCAAAATCGGTTTTTAAGTATGAAATTCTGCGTAGACGTTCCTTATGTAACTTAATTTAGCACTAAGAGGCAATTTTAGGAAATTTTCCCTCTAAGGGGGGTGAAATGAAGGGTGAACGTTCTGAAAAAAAAATCTGTCCTAGAAGTATGAAAATTTGCACAGAGGTTCATCAAGTGATGAAAGTTATACTCAGAAGCGAATTTTGGGCATTCATCCCTTAAGAAATAAGGGATGAAAATATGTCAAAAATTTGTTAAAATCGGTTTTAGAAGTATAAAATTGTTCGCAGACGTTCCTTATATAAGGTAATTTAGCACTAAGAAGCAATTTTTCGAAATTTTCCCTCTAAGGGGGTGAAATGAGGGGTGAACTTTCTGAAAAAAATCTGTCCTAGAAGTATGAAAATTTGCACAGAGGTTCCTCAAGTGATGAAAGTGAGTACTCAGAAGCGAATTTTAGGCATTCGCCCCATAAGAATTAAGGGATGAAAATTTGTACAAAAATTCATTAAAATCGGTTTTGGAAGTATGAAATTTTGCGCAGACGTTCCTTATGTAACGTAATTTAGCACTCAGGAACAATTTTTGGAAATTCGCCCTCTAACGGGGTAAATGAGGTGTGGACGAAAAAAAATTGCTTGTTATTGTTAAATTACGTTACATAAGGAACAAACAGAATTTCATACTTCTAAACCCGATTTTAACAAATGTTTGTACAAATTTTCATCCCTTATTTCACTCTCTTAGGAGATAAATGTCCAAAATCCACCTGTACAAAATTCCACACTCGTAGGACTGTTAGTTTTAACTAACAATTTATTAAAGTGCAACTATATAAAAATTATACAGGGTGGCGCCTCTCATACGACTCGGAGGCTCCAAGGAGAACGACCAGTTCGTATTAAAATGAAATTTTGTGAGCATATGTAAGTTAATTCTGCGCACGTTTTAAAAATATAGAGCGTTCTACAGGGTGTCCCCAAAAAAAGTTACACATCAAATTTGTGTTTTTTTGTAACGGAATACCCCCTTTATTAATTAATTTTTAGATTCTAAGAGAAAAATAAAGGTGTATTTTATTAGGGAAGTATATGACTGAAATGTAAGGTTTTAGACTTACTTAAGATTTTGAAGAACAATTTTTAAATTTCAAGAAAAACTACCTAAATTGGAATTTACTCTATTGCACTTTAAATCAAATTAAACCCTGACCCATAAAGTTATACAGGGTGGGGCAAAATTAATGCTGAACATTGGTATAACCTGTATAACTCCTTTATTACCCACCCTGTATAACTCCTTTAGTTTAATTGAATCACCCAGAATATTATTCCGATATTCAATGGGAAATTCATGTCACTTCCAAATACTATTAAAGTTGCCGGCCTACCCCTCAAACAAAGATTTTCCTAGATATTTTCATTTCTATGATTTAGTGTGAATAGATCTTTATTATTTGATAAAATCTAGGGTGGCTGTGATATGTCTGACGTTACTTCAACATAGCTGTCAAATTAGTTAACTTTAGCAACTAGTTATTATTTTGTGTCAGTTCGTCAGTTGAAACAAAAAAATCTAAGAAATTTTCCGAAAATAGAAACTTATCCTACATCAGAAAGAATTGATATGATTCTACTTTTAGATTCAAATTTTTGTTATATAATTATACATTTATATCTAATTTTAATTCTGTGATAATTAATATATGTTTTAAACGTATGTTTTTATTACAGTATTTTATACTACATCCTTTAATTTTTGATAAATTAACACAGCCACCTAGATTTTTTTCAAATAATAAAGATCTACTGACGCAAAATCATAAAAATGAAAGTATCTAGGAAAATCTTTGTACCTTAATAATATTTTGAAGATATATGAATTCCCCATTGAACACGGAAATAATATACTGGGTGTTCCATTTAAAATAAAGGAGTAACTTGCTTTTCAAAGTGATAAATGTAAAAGTTTTGTCCCACCCTGTATAACTTTTCCTGTCACATTTTAATTTGGTTTAACATATTATGGTTATTGTAACTAAATATCAGGCTATACAGGATAAATTACAATATAGATAGCTGTTATTGAAATTTAAATTTTATTCTTCATTTTCACAAAATGTGAAATATGTCAAAATCCTTACATTCTAGGCACATGCTTCTTTAATAAAAACACACCTTTATTTTTTCCTGGAATCCAAAAATCAATTAATATATAGGGTATTCCATTACAAAAAACAACTTTAATGTATAACTTTTTGGGGACACCCTGTATAACTATATATTTTTATAAAATGCTTTCAATTAATCTATATATGCTTCATTTCCAAGCCCACCCCACGCCGTTTTTTTTTTCGATCGTATGGTATATTCAATAATTGCATTACTTATAATTTATAACAGTTTATGTTCACTGATTCATTTATAATTTATATCCACTTAATTACTTGATTTATCCATCATAAACTTTGCATAGATAAAGAAATAACGATGGACAATTCTTAATGTGTTAAATTATACCGTATGATCCAAAAAAGGCGTCCGATTGGCTTGGAAATGATGGTCGATGACATTCCCCATATAATTTTACATATCAAATGACAGCGATCTTCATTTCATAGCCATCGCTGACGCCGTTTTTTTCGATCATACGGTATATGGTAAAAGCCATCGATCACCATTTCTAAGGTAACTTAACGCCGTATTTTTACATACAAAATGTGCAAAAAAAATTCTATATGAATGAACTCACCACAATTTTCTATCCACTTTGTACATAAATTAGGATCTCTTGACGCAGGAAACTTAAACATATGTACACCTGATTTCGAGAAATCCCACAATTATAAAATTGGCACTTATTACCAGACATTTTAATAATAATTTTATTATCACTAATCACACACAGTTATAATCAAAGACAGTCAAAGGTAAATTACCCGCCTTTTTAAAATATCCGTTAAAAACAAAAGACAGTAACGACATATCTAAATCTTCTATCTTTGTCGCATATGGTTCGTTCCTTTATTATTCCGTGATAAGGGAAGGAATAGAGATTTTCTATGATAAGTGGTAAAGCTAGGTTTTCATATGTACAAATTTGAAAAACTTTTCAGGAAATTCGGTCATATTATTTTCATTAATAAATTGTTTATCATAAATAAATTTATTAAAAAAAAAATTTTTGAACGAATATTCAAATTCTAAACGTTTCAATTAACAAAAAAAAATTGGCCAAGTGCGAGTCGGACTCGCGCACGAAGGGTTCATTATCATTGAATGTACCATTCACACATTATCTATACAACATCAGACATTATATTATTGTAAACTTTTTTCCGATTTAGCTGAAATTTTGAATGCGCTTGTAAGTAATTTAAAAAAAATGAAGAAATACATTGCTAAAAATTGTATTAATCAATAATAAATAAGTAAAAATAAATATGTAAAAATATGTAAAAATAAAAAAAAAGATTAAGAAAAGTCACCTTGCCTACGATTCGAACCTGCCTCACTACGTCTCAACGCCTTCAAATCCTAACGCCTTTAACCACACGGCCACTCGAGGACTTAAATATTCTGTGTAAAATTCTTACTTAAACGATAATGTTTAGTGAAAGTACTTTTTATTTATAAATATTTATTTAATTCTGTTTTAGTATTTGTTCTTATAGCGGCAACATAGATACATTATCTGTAAAATTTTCAACTGTCTAGCTATAAAGTTAGTTAATAAGAATTAATAGGTGTAGCATATTTCAACATTATTCACTGGTTTTAAAAAGATCAAAAATATGCATGTGTGTTTATAGTATAAATGAATTGCTCCTTACGTTAGTTCTTATTGATATAATAGCAAAAAAGTATAAAGTATAAGCGCAATTTTATTAAAAATATGTTATTCTAAGTTAGAATAACATAGAGTTAAAAATATGTGTTACAATTTCTAACACATATTTTTTTTTAACTCTAATGTTCTAAATTAATTGTTCAAAATATAATTGTTATTTTTTTCCTAGGAAAGATAAAACTTCATTAATTTTCATAAATAAATTTATTTCTATTAAATTTTATAGAGCAATATGTACTACAGTTTTATTTCACATTTTGTAATACTGCTTCGGTGCGGTGCCCCATTGCTATCTGTGAGTTCATTCAAATTATGAAAAATCACTACTGATCTAGAAGATAAAATGTACCTAAGTACCATAATATTATAATCAAAAATGACTAATTTTGTAAATTATTACCTATAATGGTTTGATGAGATGCATGTAAACTTCTTTTAGGCTGGTTTCTTAAAGTTAGGTGATTAATTATCTTCGCATCGTCATAGGCTCTAATCAATTGTAGATTATTCTTCAATCAACCTGAAATATGTAATATTATTTACTTTATATCTATGAAAAATTATCATTTTCTTTATGAAAATTTTGAGTTTAAATTTAAATGTGATTAGAATAAATATACGTCACTAATTAACATTTTATCACAGGTAATATTCTATATTACTTTATGTTTACTTTTGTGAAAATATTACTTACCTATAATATTTAAACGAGTTCCTGAATGTACAATTTTACTTGTTTATCGCGATGCCGAGTTCTGAATCTTGTATTGGTTGTCTAAAACTGTTTGATTTTGCTTAGTTATATTGTATCCTATATTTTATTAAACAAACTCAAAATAATGTTTATAATTACCTTCATCAGCCTTTATACCATTAAAAGTCATTATTATCAGTTATTATTATGTAGTATGTAGTTATTTCTTTGAGTTATTTGTTGTTGTTTGTTTTCAAAGATCATTTTTGAGGTTAATATCATATGAAACTTTTCGTAATTAGTCAACTGGTAAATGACGTGTGACGATAAATTAATAAAATAATAATGTACGTATTAAGTTAAATATTTATATATTAATTTAACATCCGGTATTACCTAACATCCATATCTATTTCATGTTTATAAATTACATAATTTTTAATTTTATATATTCATAATGAAATGAAATATATTTCGATATAACGTTTGGCAACCACGCAACTGAAGTGCAAGCGACATCTGTGCAAGAGAAGCAAAACCTCCCAAAAAAGTTAGAAAAGGAATCTAAAAATTTCAGATTATTCAAACGTCACTCCAATATTTTTCCAAATTGGAGTGAAATTGGGGTGACAATTTTTAACACGTAAGGAGCCATCTGGATTATGTGTTATCTGTGTTAATATGTATTGTCGCGACCCAAAAGAAAAAAACTTTCTAAAAAATTCTAGCTAATAATAATAATTTCTTCACGTCGCGTCGGTGACTTTTTTTGTATGATTCTGGTCACACTTGGTAAATATCAATCGAATGCCTAGAGACACAGCATGTTATAGCATTATTCATCAATCACACATGTTATACCATTATTCATCAATATGTATTGTCGCGACCCAAAAGAAAAAACTTTCTAAAAAATTCTAGCTAATAATAATAATTTCTTCACGTCGGTGACTTTTTTTGCATGATTCTGGTCACACTTGGTAAATATCAACCGAATGCCTAGAGACACAGCTCACCGTACAAACATTTCAATTCTCGAACAACTGAATATCGAATCTAGATTGTCGATATCAATAAATCAATCATATTTAAAATAGTTTGGCCATATATCTAGAAACACCAATGGGCTAGAAAAACTAATTGTGGAGAGAAAAGTGAACGGGAAACGTCCTAGAGGGAGATCTCCAAACCGTTGGGTGGACCAAAGGAAGGCGATAATAGGCCATAGTCTGCAAGAGGCCAGTACTGCTGCGCAAGACAGAACAACATGGAGAGACACAATAAATGCGATATCATAATGCCACCATACCCTTATAGAGTACTAAGCAGGAGGAAGAGGAGGAGGAATATCTAAAAAATGGTAATTAAAATGCCATTTCATAGCCTACTATTTTATTTTTTAAATTTATAATTACTAAGAAAATGTGTCTCATACTTTTAACGGTTATGAACGTTAATAACACATTAACGAAAAATTTCACCAAACAAAGTTAATCCTTTTTAGAAACACGTAAATTATAAATGGAACTTAACCGTTTAATAATAAAGCGCTTTTCTTTACGTTCGCTCTAACAAGAACTATTCAAAGTAGGTGGGAGGCAGCAGCCATTAACACGAAACGTTGCCATTATTTCCCGGAATATTCCAGGCAAGCTAATTAAAAGTAAATACAAACTTGGCAA